ACCTCTGAGACTATCACAGTGCAGGTGCATTTATATGGAGACTTGATTACACACAGGTGGATTCTATTTATCATCCTTTGTCATTTAGGTCAACATTGGATCATTCAGAGATCCTCACTGAACTTCTGGAGAGCGTTTGCTGCACTGAAAGTAAAGGGGCTGAATAATTTTGCACGCCCAATTTTTCAGTTTTTTATTTGTTAAAAAAGTTTGAAATATCCAATAAATTTCGTTCCACTTCATGATTGTGTCCCACTTGTTGTTGATTCTTCACAAAAAATTACAGTTTTATATGTTTATGTTTGAAGCCTGAAATGTGGCAAAAGGTCGCAAAGTTCAAGGGGGCCGAATACTTTCGCAAGGCACTGTAACTGAAGACATTCATAGAGTTGTGCTCTGTTGTACACATCAAAAGTGCCACAAAATTCTGATACCTACTGTATCAGAAAAGTCAGGGAGGAGGGGTTTTCTGAAGCTACCTGACCTTTCAACAAGCACTTCGGCTGGAGTGTAAACCTGGTTTTATGGTGTGGGGATTGGGGTGGTGAGTGGGTGTGCTGCGTATCCAGCTTCAGAAACTATTACAGATAACCTTTTTTAATCTTAACCATCTCATAGTCTTCATCAATGAATAAAGGTGGCTCAGTTCTCAGTGACTCTGAAAACCATGGCTTATGGTTCAAAGCTCCAGAAAAAGGTAGTAAGTGGATTGTGAGTAAGTATTATGTACACTAAGGTGATGTTTGTTGTGCATCCTGAGGTATACAGTAGGCACCCCCCACTTTAAATGGACTCACTGAATAGACATACATAGCTGCTATCACAAAATGAAATCTTTGCACCATTTTGTTGAGCATGTACTGCATATAAATAGGTTGTGTTCCATGACTCATCTTGTCCCATTTATTGTGACTTCCATGCCGTTCAACTTCAATGACTTCATAATCTCAGTTTGCTAACATTCAAGTTTGCCAGTCAGACTTACTGGCAAACTCTTTCCACCCACAGAGCAGCTCCACCTCTGAGAAATATTTACTGTATATAACTCAAACTACAATCTGTTACAGTATGTCCCAGGAACACATACGCAAAGAGTTTTATTCTTATTCATGTAGCATTGAACTGTATACTACAGACTGCACATGGAGATGAATGACGAAGAAAGAAAAAACAGTGAGTACAGCAGTATTAAATCGTTACTTTGCAGGCCACATACACGATAAGCTCCTTGGGTATGGTGGTCCTGAGAGTGCAGCACACCGCAGTTTACGATAACACAAACAAATAGAGAAAAACAAGCTAAATGAAGTAAACATTTTCACCAATTTGGCAGCACAGGTGAAACTAGAAAAAAAGCTCTGCAAAGTGAGAAACCCAGCTCATAAATGAGCTACAAATACAGAAAACACAGCCAAATAGATGAGTGTACAGCAATACTGCCAGTTAATAGGTGAACATTTAGAATGATATCTGAATCATGTTATCAGGATGTTTTATAAAAAAAAAGTTAGCTTCGTTTCCAACACCACTGATAGCAGACCCAGAGTGGATTAAGAAGGCGAGTGACAAGATCTCCGTTGACTCTTTTTACAATAATGGTGGATCATGGGAATGTTGAATAGTTCCAAAAATTAGCAGCAGCGCCATAGACTTGGATTTACTGATGTGCCAAAACACATTTTACAACCTTTTTGACAGTGTCCCTCAAAAACTGGGTCACTTTAATAATTAGGTGCCTAGCTAACTGGCTAAATTAGCTGAGCTATGTACAACAACCGAACAGAGAATTAGTTAGCATGGCTGTAGAAGTCATTAAAAGTAGTAATTTGCTGATAAATCCTGCTGTTCTGTATTGGTTGTTTGGAACTATTTGAATCTACATGAGTCATGTGGCCGTCTGCCATTCTGTCCCCTCAGTCTCGCTGCTCTTCTATCTAATGGGCTCTGAGGAGCCACCACTGCAACAACAACAGCAACAAGTGTGTCCTTGTGCCTTAGCTGAGTTCATCACTGTTTTGTGTTTTTTAAATTTGATTGTTTCCTGTATGTGCAACATGTTTTTTTGTTTTTGTTTTCTGTTCTTGCAACACATTTCTATGTTGGTTGTGTTTTCTATATTTGGCTGTGATTTCTGTGGTTAGGTGTGTTTGCAAGGTTCCAGAACTTTGCAAATGTCTTGTCAAAATGGTGAAGATGCTTATATTTTCTTGGCATGGGTTTTTGTACTATGTGTTACATTTTATTTAGTGCCTGCCTGCTTTTTTCTTATCTAAAATGTCCTTTTTGTTGCCAGAATGCCATATTTAATGTTTCATGTAGTCTAATGGCAGAGAATGGCCTGATATGAGTCTAGCTTTGCCTGCGTCACCTGGTGGTAGCTGTTATAGTCCATGTTTCCAGGCAAGGGGAAGCCAGGTGCCAGGTACAGCTCTCCTTCCATCATCTCGGGCTTGATAAACTCCTCCAGGTAGGTCCGACACAGGCGGCGATCCCAGTCATCTGTGATGTGACCGCCGTACATGATCTCACCAAACAGGTAGCGTAAGTCATCATATGGCACCTGGGCATTAGAGGCAGAGAGGAGAATGCTTTGTTAGATGGTGGCCTGTGATGTTTAGCTGAGGTCACATGTGCTTAGATTTCCAATTAAGATTACAAAAAGTGGGCTTTGTAAACGTTTACACAGGAATTAAAGAAAAACCATAAGTACCTTAGGATTGGCTTCCAGGTAGTTGTAGAGGACATTGATAGAAATGGTGAGGTCTCCGGTGTTAAAGGGGTACGATCTGTTCCAGCCCTGAGGACCAAACTTTCTCCTCTCTGCCACAACCGCATGGAAGTAGCACAAAGCAAACAAAATGCTTTTAAACTCATTCTCCCGTGCACACATTTCTAGTGTGTCCTAAAAAAAACAAAAAACACAAAGTGACATGTTTAAAAGATGCACACTAACACCTTCTGTACTATACAGCCGCATTAATGGAGCTGTGTTGGTGTCTTACAGGTAAACAGTTATGGCAGGCAGTCTTGTGATCTGTTTTATTTTGTGAAGTCCCCAGCAGTGCAGCACACTAACAGACAGACAATAAGATGATTCGATTGCAATAAACCCAACGATGAGATTCCCTTTTAATTGTCACAACTTGTCAGCCACTTTCAGCCTCCAACTGTCTCTGGGGCTCATTACTCCAGACAGGCAGATAAAAAAACTGGACGTAAATGGCACTGTAATCTCTTGGGGGAGAGACAGTTAAATAAGCATGCCAATAACCCCTATGGAAATAGGAAGGCTAAATTCTCTTTATTCCTGCATGTGTCATGGTGAGTGCAGCTCTTTCACTTCTCCTGCTGCAGTGCCCTGGGGAGCTGACTATGATGCACATTCACACACACACACACACACACAAGTACAGTGCAGACTGACTACCACACACACTTTTGGTGGTTTAGTTAATATTCTGTACGGTACTCCTCTGCTCAACACAGCTGAAAGAGATGCATAGCCTCCCTATTCATGACCTGTGGACTGGAGAGAAACACCAGGCAGTCAAATCACAGAGAGAATGACACAAACACAAATGCATGCACCTGTCATTGCACTGAAAAACACATTAATATCAGTGAACTGGCAGTTTGAGATTAGCATCGGGGTATGCATGAGTTTAAATAACCTAAAAAATTGACAGATAATTGAACCGATCTGTTTCAGCAAACAGGGAATTGCTAATCTTAAGTTATTTCACACAGTATTATAAAACTGTTATTAGTGAAAGAAAATATGCCACTGTACCAGATGTTACAGTTAAGACCACCCAGACTCCATCTTATAGGCTTCTGGGCATGGAAATAGGCAGTGGAGATGTATGGACCTCCCAGTGAAAAGGTCAAGAGGAAAGAACAAATTTCTCTGGCTTAGCACTGGATCTAGCCACGTGGGTGAGCTATTACAGAGAGTTAGCCTAACAGTGATTAGCTTTCACTGAGTATACATGACTGGAATATTCCCTCCATAGCTACCCCAATGGACCCCCCTGTGGCTGTGTTTAAGGCAGAGCTCACAGGTACGTTGCACTTATCAGGTAGTGAGACGTCAGCAAACTAAGGATCGTGAAAATAGACTGGGAGGAAGCCAAGCACTCAGGTAATGGTGCGGAGGGAGCTGCACTGGCAGAGAAGCACTGGGGTAAGACATAGATAAAGATGAAGAACTCACAAAATAAAAAAGAGCCAGGAGAGGACACTGCAGCACAGTGATCCAATCCAACTATAGGGACTGCAGAATGGCTCAGCAGCATGACATTGTCTGGCCACTCTGATAAACACAAGTAGTTGTGATTGCCATCCTCACATAATACTGTTGTCTCCCTGCAGAATGGTACCACACAAACTTTTAATGCTAGCATGTGCTACATTCCCATTTGTCCCCCAAGGGTCAGAGGCAATTCCAGGGTGAGTGAAAGGTTATTCCACCATCTGCTTGCTGCTACAGTTTGGCAAATTGGCAACTTGATGAGAAATCTGGAGAAAAAATTGGCATGTGTTGTCTCAACTGCTACTTATAGCAGAAAGGAAAATGAGTTCTTCAGAAGAAGGCATCGACATGAAGTATCAGTTTCTCTCAAATATTCCCAGCAGAGTAAGGGCACTTGAAATGTTGCTGGACAATTTCCACATCCAGGGAATATAAAGTCTAGATGATAAAACAACCACAGTCAGTCTAATCTTTCAGAACATTCTCAAAAAAATCTAAGTGCCTTTCTCTCCATTGGTTTCTGATTGAACTGAAAAGACTTCAGTGAAAATACTCACATTAAGGAAGTAATAATATCAGCTCAAGGGAGCTTTAAAATCATTATATAAACAGTCCTTAACATACATCAGCTGTGAATGCAAGAATGTCAGTGGTAAAGAATTCAGATCCTTCAATAAAAGCAGAAATGGCAAGCTACAAAACTACTCCATTACCATAACAAGTGCCAAACTTATGTCAAGTACACATTGTGAAATAAGATATATTTTTTCAGCTGAATGCACAGAAATAATGGAAATAAATGTATTTTCATGCAGAATGATCCCTTTCAGAAATGAAAAGATTTTGCAAATTTTATAATGGGAATACTATGAATAAGGCACTGACTTACATCTACTTACATCTAACCAAGGTGAGGCTAGTTTTAGCTCTCCAAAATCAGGCTCTTTAGGGGAAATGTTCTACTTTACTCACAAACTTTGCCTGTGGTCAGATATCCAGTGTCCAGTGGGTTTATCAGAGCCTTTTCAACAGAGAACACCTGTCTACCACTGATGGATATGGTAAGACGTGAGTGATGAGAATCAAGACACTGAAGTTTCAGGCTATAAAACAAAACAAGGAGCTAAATGATGACAGAATGTACTGTAGAACTGCAGAGTGGGGTAATAATTCTGTGGGTTTGCCACTACAAGGGATTCAGATTACACAATTACACTGAGTCTTACAGTTGTTCTCAGTTGCTTTCCTATATTTTTCAGATCAAAAATGAAATTCTCTAAACTACTTGCTCACTGTCCACATCATCCATTCACTTGTGCACATCATATCATATAAACAATTTCTTGTTTGTTTAGCAGTTTGCAAATTCACATTCATGCTAATTGTCTGTTTTCTACATTATCAGTCACTTATGTCATGTTGATCAAAGTGTATTATGTGGTTCTCTGAATAGTCTGACCTTCCAAAACATTGAGACATCCGTTCATTTAAGATGTCATTACATGCAAAATGGGTGAACTAGTTGTCTTTAGTATCTGTCAGACATATTTCTATACAGCTCTATTAGACTTTTGTGCCCTGAATTGTTGAGCTGCTCTCAGGTGAATCTTGACTTTCACTAATGAAGGGTAATGTGTTAGATCAACCAGTGATCAACCAGGTCACTACTGTCAAATATCTCAGAGGTGCATCTCATCAACCTTCAATTAGCAAACACATATAGACAGAGCACCACACAGTGTTACAGTTTCTGACAATAGAAGAAAGAGGAAATGAACAGTGTCAACTGCCAGATAGAAGAAGAGGAGTAGGGTGGTGTGGTGGGAGGGGAGGGAGGCAAAACAGAGGAGGAGGGAGAAGAGGCCGAGGACATAGCATGTTCCAGATGAAATAAGGGCCACGCTTGTGGACCATGTTGTCAATCACGGCCTTACAATGACTGAGGCTGGTCAAAGGCGGTGAATGTTGTGAGAACAGCCAACTGTTCTGTCCAGGGGGGTTTCATCTGTTTACATTTCTAATGGTGTCTTTTCCTTTGTGCTATGCAGTGCTGTAAAACACTTTTCTGTATCACAGTGACAATAAAAACAATGAAAATGTAAATGTGAATCTGTCCAATCTTTCAGGTCAAATCAAATCAAATAAAATGTATTTATAACATCCAGTTGACCAAAGTACTTTACATGGGCAGAATAAAATCAGAATAAATAACTAAAATAAAATAAATAGGATCAATATAATAAATAGGATCAGTAATCTAGCCACAGTGGTTGCAA